CTCCCATCTGCAGTAAACCAGTTTAATTATTTCTTATGAGGTCTAATGCGAGCTCAACCACAGATTACAGTTTTACACAATAACTTCCATTCCACTAAAATGATCTGTAGGCACAATCCTGGTCAAGAAATGTGATATTTTTTTGCCTAAGTTTTGGAGGATATCTCTTTTTGGATATTACAGCAGTTTTTTCCCTTTCTCTTCTAGTTTCCTGTTGCAAAATACCTACGTCAGTACTTACTGAGTACTACTGCCCAAGAAACAGAAGTGAGAAAGTCCACCCAACGGCACAAGCAACTTTAAACTCTCTATTTTCACACGAGACATAAAATCCCTATGTAAGTATCTTTTTCTCTATAAAAAAACTTTGTGTTATTTATAACCTATAATTTTAAAGCTTATATGTGTAAATGTTTGTATTTTTAAAAGTCGTGGTTCCATATATTTCAGGAACAATCATGGACGTGGAGTATTTTGATTATGATAACTACACCGCAGACATCGATAGCAACCTCACCACTGAAGGAACCCTAAATTTATATAGCGCCTCGTCCTCTTCAACTTATGCTCTGGTGGCAGTCAACATCATCATATGCGTTTTGGGGCTTGCAGGAAATTCCCTGGTGATTTGGATTTGTGGATGGAAAATGAAAACCACAGTCATCACCATCTGGTACATCAGCCTGGCCATTTCAAACTTTTTGTTCTGTGCCTTGTTGCCTTTCGAAGTTGTGTACATGATAACTTCACACTGGCCCTTTGGAGAAGGCTTGTGCAAGCTCGCCTCATCTGCCCTGTTTCTCAACATGCACAGCAGTGTGTTCCTGTTGGTTCTCATCAGCACTGACCGCTGTATCATGGTCTTATTTCCTGTGTGGTCGCACAACCACCGCAAAGTAGGAAAAGCCTTTGGAGCCGTCATCCTCATGTGGGTTCTTTCTGCATTCTTAACAGTGCCCTCACTTATGTACAGGAAAACCACGGTCCACGGCTCGGTCATTCAGTGCCACACGGACTATGGGGTCAGACATAAAGCGGTGGTACTGACCCGTTTCATTTGTGGGTTCCTGATTCCTATCCTAATGATTGTCTTCTGTTGCTCTGTGCTTGCCATAAAGCTCAGAAGTCTGACCCACAAGTCAACAAAGCCGTACAAAATCATGGCTGCGCTCATTTTGTCTTTCTTCGCCTGCTGGGTCCCCTACCACACCTTTGTCCTGCTGGAGATAGACTTTAAGAAACACAACCTGGAGGTCATTAAAACTGGACTAAAAGTTGGGGCCACCTTGGCTGCAGCAAACAGCTTCCTATCTCCAGTTCTCTATGTGTTCATCGGCAATGACTTTAAGAAAACCCTAAGGCGGTCTTTATCATCAAGGATTGAGGATGCTCTGGCAGAGGATATTCGTACAGGTGGTCTCAATCACTCAAGGTCCAAAACAATGGAAACTGGCCTAAATTAGAGTTTTTACATCATCACAGTGCATAAATATGATTACCGTTCTCAATGACACTGATAATATTGAATGTTGAACTAACAGGTTATTATGGTAACTTTAATAGATTTTTGCACAATATCACATTTCAAGACAAAGTGATCACAATCGGTTATTCAGACAAGCAGAAATCTGGGAAATTGCTATTAATTCTTAATCCATTCAGGTTAAACAAAGCATATCTTTGCTCAGGTATTTTTGTGTGTGTGAATGACTGTCTTGTCTTATTGATTATTGTCATGTTTCCTTTGAATTTTATATTTTAAGTTTACTTATTGTACTGCATTGTTAGCTCTGCGATAGATGGGTGACCTGGCCTGGGTGTACCTGCGCCTCTCGCTCCCTGGCAGCTTGGAAAGGCTTCAGGCCTGAAATGGATAAGCACAAGAAAATGGGAAGATGGATGAACTGTGAGGAGCAAAGTGATGCATGTAAATATTAATATGAATATTAATATGAGTGCCAAAAACTGTGGACTCACTAATGAATGTAATAAAATACTGAAAAAAGATACACACTCAGTCTCCCTTAAAGGGAACTTGACAAATAGTAGTATTTTATTGTCACTTTCTTCTGTCAAAGTTCTTACATTTCAAACTTACACCCGACCTGCACCCATTTTCACACCTTAGCTCGTGTGATTAGTCCAGACGCTTTTCTTTCCAAGCTACTTAGACTTACATTTCAAAGTACAGTCAAGGAAGTCTGCTCTAAATTACTGTATTACTTATATTTGTACTTTTAATTAATAAATATTAAGTGTACCTGTATTCATTTTTTCAGTAAAAATCAAACTATCACCTGACTTTGAAGTTCCTGCAGATTATTTTTCTTTGTAGATAGTTTTTACCTCTGCCAAGAAGGTTATGTCTTTGGTAGCGGTTGTGTGCGTGCGTGTCATTCAGTTCATTCAAGAGCTCGAATTTTTTTTAATTATTCTGATCAAACTTTGTAGGGGTCCAGAGTGAGGTCATGTTAACTATCCATTAAAATTTGACTTTCATCCACTAGGGTCTTCAAGGTCAAGCAAATGATTTATTGGTCAAAAATTGATAAAATGCCTTTTAACTTACAAACTATGATTCTTACATGTGTGGTGTATATAGAGAGTACTGCATGAAGATTTTAAATATCAGGTCACATTTGAACTCTGACTTCTCCTTCAAGGTCTATAGACTGATTTGAAGGTCAAAGTGATAATAATGCCATATGGAGCTATTTGCTGTTTTTTTTTACTGCCATTGTATGTTGATTGACAACATAGGCATGCAGCAAATGATATATGGGGATTTTAAATATCACGTTACTTTAGACCTCTGACCTCTTCTTCACAGTTAAATGAGACCAAACTTTCACAAAATGTCCACATCTTGGGGCGATCGTGGCTCAAGAGTTGGGAGGTCGCCTTGTAATCGGAAGGTTGCCGGTTCGAGCCCCGGCTTGGACAGTCTCGGTCGTTGTGTCCTTGGGCAAGACACTTCACCCGTTGCCTACTGGTGGTGGTCAGAGGGCCCGGTGGCGCCAGTGTCAGGCAGCCTCGCCTCTGTCAGTGCGCCCCAGGGTGGCTGTGGCTACAATGTAGCTTGCCGTGAATGTGTGTGTGAATGGGTGGATGACTGGATATGTAAAGCGCTTTGGGGTCCTTAGGGACTAGTAAAGCGCTATATAAATACAGGCCATTTACCATTTACCAGAGGTGTGGACTCGAGTCATTAATTTTATGACTTTAGACATGACTTGAAAAAATGTTCTAAGACTTGTGACTTGACTTGGACTTTTACACCAATGACTTGGGACTTGAATTGGACTTGAACCGGTTTACTTGAAAAGACTTGATATTTTACCCCAAATATAAAATTTAACATGCATATTATATAGAGATTGAAAATGTGACGTCATTCACGGGTAGAACCGCAAAGGATTCTGGGAACTCGTGGCAAGCGGTACTAGCGCACGCAGGCTTTCAATTGAAATCAGTTATACAGCGATAAAAAGAAACACAAAAATGTCAAGAAGCCGTTGTATTATTAACTGCAATGACGCATGACAGCCACGAGAAGCTGACGGGTAAAGAGATCGGTTGTTATCGGATTACGTCATTGAAGAGAAATTGTTCGAGCCATGTTTCCGAAGTGACAAACAGGCGACGGATGGCCTGGATCGCAGCCATTCAAAGATCAAATATAACGTCCCAGAACACTCCAGCTCACAGGTTAGTCTGCTCCAAGCATTTACACGAAGGTCAGTGTTTTGTGGTAGTTAATACGTCATTTTCATAACATAATTGGTGATATAGGTTACAAGCAAGTCTGGCGCTGAACAGAAATTGTCGCGCTATGCTCCTTTATTTATTGTGCATAAATAGTGAATTGTCCTGACACAATATTGCGTTTCGCTTCTGTTATTATGGTACATTGACAAAAACATATACTTTTATTCACAGGGTAAAACAGTTGTTTTGTATCACTAATTGTCCAGTGCGATTACAGCATACAATATTATTGTCACTGCTACATTTCTGTGATGGGTACCAGAAATTATTTCCACTACTAATTAATTACCGTTGAGCTCAAAGGTTATATTAATAAATGGTTAACGAATGTGTATTTATGACGACAATTTGTGACTGGTAAACTTATGATACGTACGATGGTCTTTCGTTCTACACGGTGCATTTCAAGGTCCTGCACCCATCCGTCGGTAAACTGTACCTGGGCTTGTTACAGTGACCTGAAGTTACTAAACTTCACGAGTGTATGCACTCACTCCAAGAACCGTATGATTATAAATATGCATATAAATATGCTAAGATGAGATAGCTGACTTCATCTAACTAGCAAATGTTGTCCAGGCTACGTTGGTGATACAGTTTTTTTTAATGTGTATGATATTTTTGTCATGCGATTTTAAAGCTGGTCCTAAAACCGCATCCAAGAATAACATGCAGCTTATCTCAGAACTGTTGGTGAAAATTATTCTTGGAGCTAGGTTTAATTGAGCTGCATTTTAAAGAGGTGCAATTTCACAATTTGTGTATATTTTCTAAGTTCACTATTTTGTCATGTGTTGAGAAAAACACAGATTTTAAAATTACATGGTCTAATATTTACATTTAGCATAACTGCAACATTATTTTTTCTTTTTTTTTTTTAAAGACTCGAAAGGACTTGAAATTCAAAGTTTCAGACTTGTGACTTGACTCGGACTTTTACACCAGTGACTTGAGACTCGACTCTGACTTGCCTGACATTACTTGAGACTTGACTTGAGACTTGAGGATAAAGACTTGAGACTTACTTGAGACTTGCAAAACAATGACTTGGTCCCACCTCTGCCATTTACCATTTAAAGCTCTGCTTAAAAGTGGTGGAACCTTTTGTCAGGTTCACCTGAAAGGCCTAACTGAGGGCCACAAAATCCCACGGATTCAGTCTTAGCCACGCCCCCTCCAGGGATCTACTACCGGTTAAGTGGCGTTGCTGAAAGAGTGATGCAAAGGTCTGTAAGGCTATTTTCTAGACTCCTCACAACAAATTATGAGTGTCACTCACCATCCAATCATTTTCTGAGTGACACCGTTTAACATCTGTCGCTCAGCTGTTGGTTAATCTCTGTGAAACTGTCGTTTTGTGCTTAGTTTTCCTTGTTTGCTAACGTTAGCGTAAATGTTCGACATGGACGTTTCTTCCAGCAGGGTATTTTTGTTTGTTTTCACTCCTTTCTCCTCTCGTTAGCCCCACTTCCTGGCCACTGGACCTCTTTATGTGTATGTATTGAGACCCCGGATGCCATTGTAGTCACCCCAGCTACTTGTTTAGAGGATTTAAGCTGTGTGACAAATGGCCAACGCTGCTCCTCCGACTCCGGGCGTTGAAAACGCAAGTCCCGGATCTAGTAGCTCGGCTGCCGCTGACAGTGGCAACCAGGACAGCACCTTTGAATGTAACATATGCCTGGACACCGCCAAGGACGCCGTGATTAGTTTATGTGGACACCTCTTCTGGTAAGAAGCGTGCTGCTGTCTGTGACACATGTTTATATTTTTAATTGTGAGCCACAGGTGAGTCGGGGACACATCAGCATAGCTCCTAAAGACCAATATCGGTTTGTAACTGGCAGACATGACGAGATCGTTTCCAAGCATGCATAACTTATCACATCATACTTGGCAAACACTGAACGGAAATGCTAAGTTTTGGTAGAAGTTAATAGTAGTAGTTAATGTTGCCTGTTTATTAGTAAATTGTGAGGCAGGTCCTACAAAATTTCAGATGTGCAGTGTGACATCCAACATGTAAACAGGGATGGTTTGAGTTCACCTCCACTTCTGAGCCTCTGCGAATGTAATACAGGCCAACCTCGGTCCACACAGAATAGCCAAGGGGTGTGCTATAAAGTGAAGTGTCTCAGATGTGGCTCGATCACTTTGGTAACTTACGCTGAACACACAACCTGGTTCATAACAGGTTATATTCAGAGTTTTGCTTTAAATAAGTATCACATTTGCCCTAATTGTGGTCCTTCACCTTACTAACACTGTCAAATGAAGCAAACCATGCATCATGCATTCAGTTGGTGAAACGTGCTTTGATTCTTAGTTCTGATTAGTTGCCAAGCCTGTTTTAGAAAATTCATCAGTGTATTTGTGGGCTATTAAGTGGCTTTACAGTGTGTGAAGTTTCTCTCTGATATGAGACGGGGAGGAGGCACAAACCGAGCCCTGGGGGTTCACAAGCTCGTGCACTCCCACGAATATTAGGACGGTTGAGCCAGGGTTGGCCGTTGTTATGAAATCTGTGCAAAATCAAATATGCATGGTGAACTCCTGAAAAACAAGAACAGTCAGAAGGACATTTTATTTGTAAGCTCTTTATCACAGAGAATATTAAATCAGTCAAATATACTTCCCTTTGATTAGGCCACAAACTGAGTGATTACCAGATCTTCTTCATGAGGCTTTGTGACACTGACCTGACCTGACAACACCAAGGGCTCTGAAAGCAATGTGCAGCTGTCCTGTCACAAATAAGCAGCAGCTCCAGGAGTGCTAAAAGAAATAAATCAACTTGTGAATTCACAACAACTCTGTCATCTGACACTTTTGCAGCTCCAGCGGTCCTTTCTGCAGTTTTATTATGTTTGATATATCTTTATTCCTGTAGTATACACAGTGTACCTGTTGTGTACACAGACAGCTGGAGACCTGCTGGTTGAGTAGTCGTTCCTGTTATACTACTTTGAAGCCACCTGGAATGCCTGTGTAGTTGGTGCACTGGGGTGTAAATTCTCACTGGATGAGTCTTTTGTGTTCACAAAAAATACCCAAGCATGCAAGATGAACTTTACATTACTAGGATCCAAGCAAACCCCAGCAGACTTACAGACACAGAAAGCATAATCCCGGCCTAAAGCAAAGAAAGCCTGACCCTGTAGAACATGCTTTGTAGTACACCCCTTCTGGGCAAAATTAAGTTAAATTTTCAAATTTAAGTTCCTGCTTTGTGACTCATAGGTGCTCAAGGACATTTAATATCTAACTAATCAAGCTTCTCCCATCTTCATTTGCATCTCCTCCTGATTAGCTGGCCTTGTTTGCATCAGGTAAGCTGAAACCGTTGTTTCCTCTTGTTTTTGCACTCCACCAGAAGCAGCACATCGTTACAGATAAAGGAAGCGATTAGCTTCTTCACTTTTTTTTTTTTTTTTTTTTTTTTTTTAAATTTTGTAGTGGCTGGAGACTCGACCCAACAGACAAGTGTGTCCAGTATGCAAAGCTGGTATCAGCCGAGATAAAGTAATCCCCATATATGGGCGCGGAAGTACAGGTCAACAGGATCCAAGGTGGGTAAAATTGGTGACTGTGATAATTAGATAGTATTAAATATTAGTGATTTGGAGTCATTTTGGGTAATTCTGGTTATGTTTTACAGAGAAAAAACACCCCCACGACCACAAGGACAAAGGCCCGAGCCAGAAAACCGTGGGGTAAGTACTATAGATCAGTATACAGGGCTCTAGAGTGCGACCAAAGTGTACTTCAAGAACAGTTTCCCATCTCAAATCTCTGTTTTATGCATTATTCATTCGCTTATTATTACCTGCCAGTCTACTGTTGTTTACAGCGCTGTCGGCTGCTGTCTGTCAAGAAAGCCTAATTTCTGCTGTTCAATACTGAAGAAGTTTAGACTTTTTAAAATTGTGCAAAATTGCAGAATATTTTTAAGGTTATCTGCTATAAAAAGCCAGGCCAGGAAAATCTTCATGTTTTTCTGTGTTTTATTCTCAGTTACTTTGACACAAAGGCATCTGCAGTGATGCTTACACACCACACAGAAAAGATCAAAAGAACGATTGATAACCTTTTTGTTAAGTTAAGGCCTGATCCGTCTGAAATTCATAGCCAGTGCTCTGACACGGAGCCATCAATCTCTGAACTCTGAAAAAGCACAGTGTACCCAGGAAACACATATGCTGCGATAAATGCACTGCCCAAGTGTCCCCTCTCCCCCCCTCTGCCTTTCAGCAGCAGGCAGCAGCAAACAGGTAAAACTTTAGTGTTAAGCGATGCAGTTGAAAAATTTGGGTGTGCCTAAGAAAAAAAGTTAGGTGCACCAGTGCAACCGTGGCAAAAAGTTAGTCTAGAGCCCTGGTATATTTTTATTATCATCCTGAAGTATGCCAAATTTTAAGCTCTTTTTAAAAAAGAATTTAGACATAGTGTAGTGTTTTATAGCCCTGTAAGCTGCCCAGCAATATTATGAATTCATGATGAAACCATTGCATACAGTGATGTAGGTTTGCTGTATCCATTAACAGACTGACATTCCCCACCGGGATCTGTTGGATAATAAGTGTGGAGAGCCAGCGCGTCTCCAGAGAATGATATCATTTGGCACTTGCTGTTGCGTCACGTCTCACTTGCTGTACATTAAACTGTACCTCAGATATTGCAAAGACACGTCTGCTCATTAAGGCAACTCAGACTTTCGTAACTTTTGATGATACGTATTACAGGGTTTTCAGGGATTTGGCTTTGGAGATGGAGGCTTCCAAATGTCGTTTGGGATCGGTGCCTTTCCGTTTGGTATTTTTGCAACAGCTTTTAACATCAATGATGGAAGACCTCCTCCAGGTATTTGTTTGTCACACATCACTATGACCGCTCCAAGCATTTAGCATGTCAAATAACCTCCTGTAAAACAATTTCCCAAGCAGCGGCTCCGGGGACACCGCAGCACACGGACGAGCAGTTTCTGTCTCGACTCTTCCTCTTTGTGGCTCTCGTGATCATGTTTTGGCTGCTAATTGCATAAAACTCAAGAGATCTGACACATCTGTGATTCTGCTTTCATACTTCTCCCCCCCCCCCCCCTCTTGCAATAAATGTGATTATACATAAACAAATGACACATAACTGAACTTTTGTCATTTTCATGCTATAAATAATAAAAAGCAAAATGATCCTACTTATAAAAGCAGTTCAAAGTTTTATACAAACATTCTTTAGGGACTGATGAGTGAAATGTACAGTGTTTAAATTTATTGAAGTGTATGTTGTTATTGTTGCCATCTAAATCTAAAGATCTCCAGATTATTTGGAATTGTATTTAATTTTTTTTCCTGGGTCTGGTCACTGAAACAAGGTCAACCTCAGTGCTGATCATTTGTTGCAAAAAAAGTTTTCAGAAACCCCAAAGTTTCATCACACAATTAGTGGTTTAGTCTTGCTAGTGATGGCGACATAGTGTATGGGTCTACAGCCAGAAAGAGAAAACAGAACTTTATTCTGCATGGAAGGCATGCTGGGAAAAGACAAGAAAAAACAGTTTGCCAAACAGGACTTTTGGCTTGATGCACTTTGCAGTTAAAGTTATTTGGCTACAGTAACAATGAGCATGTCCTTTGGGACATACTTTGGGGATCCAGTGATTATTTTAACTGAGTTTTGCAACATAACAAAATTACTTAAATGTAATCTGAAGCTGTTGAACTGTGTGTCGACCTTTACAGATGGTAGTGACCTTAAAAAAAACAAATCTGTCCAGGAACTGCTCGAAATGAAATTACCCGATCAGAGCATAAATCCCACTAAATAGCTGAGGGTGACTTCAAACGGACACTTTTTCAGAATACAAGAATCTTTATTTTAGATTTAAAAAGAAGCATGTAAGCAGAAAGAGTCATTCATTAAACAGTGTTCACCTACGCATTTATTCTCATCAGTTTACTGTATGCAATTGTAATTACATGTAAAATACTGTAATTATTAGAGTAAAAATTAAGACTGACTAAGAAACAGCTTTTTCGAAATATGTTTGAAATCTATTGATAAAGTTATGTAAATAAAGATTAACTGTCTGTTTATGGTGTAAATCTAATGACCTCATTGCCTCTAAGTCTTTATTGCCTAATAAATACACTAATCAGGGGGAAACAAACTACTTCACATAAAAAATTTCTTCAATATCTACCACTTTTACTAATTCTGTGGCAGAAGTTTATATAAAAGAAATACAATAAAGTATTTTTTTTAAAAGTTTAAATGTAATCAGTGCTGTGTTTCTGTCTCCACCTTCTTTTCTTGAGACGCTGAATGTGTAACGTTGAACTCTGCCTCGTACATAATCTGCTGGATCTTTATTTTCGTCTCGCACCTCTTCTGTGGAGCGAGTCTCTTCATAGCGGGAACAAAGCTCAGCAGGAACAGTTCATCCTCGTCCCGCGGCTTAGTGGGAAAAGAGGGACATTGTCTTTGACCAACCATTTTGTCGGCATGGGCGTACTTTGGGAGGAAGGTGCAGACGGCGGCTCTTGGGCCGGTTTCCGTTTCTGTCCAGTAACGCCAGTGACAGGCGAGACCTGTGGGGGTGATGGTATCTTGGCCAGAACAGCCAGCTGAGCCACCTGTGTGTCCTGAGTCGCTGGAGGAAGCTGCGTTACAAATGTCACCTGTGGTTTGAGGTCGGGCAGACTCGCGGGGACCTTTACAGCACTCTGTGGTGTTTTGATTGCCTCTGACAAAGCGGTTTCTCCATCCACGTTGCTAGAGTCTTCAGGGTTGTCGTGGTCCTCATCATTGTTGGCAGAGATTTCCTGCAGTCCACTTCTTGACCCAGTGAACGGCGCAATGAAGTTCATAAGTTGTCTGTATTTCCATTTGCTTTGAACGTTTTCTCCCTGCTTCTTGCTTTTAAGCTCCATTCGGACCTCCTTCAGGTACCTGTCTCTCATGTTCTTCCATCTTCTTTTGCAATCCTCGGCTTGAAAAGTAGAACATCAGAACGTAAGAAGCAAGAAGCCACAGGATCATTTCTTAATGAGCAATAATAAATATTCAGAAGAGTAAAACAATGGTCTTTTGAAATGAACTGCTCATTGCTGTCCATTTTAGAAATATTTAAAAACTGAATACAACATCTGTCAAAACAACAACTAAAACCTTTAATTGTATTGACGTGTAATACAGTGTTTCTGTTTAAAACTGGGGGCTGTGTGGGCTTAATGTTGTCAAACTTTTTATTCACATGCTCCTAAATCTGTTTGCATTGCAGGTCTATTCTTAGCTGCAAATGTGGGTGAAATGCTCGCGTTTACATCGTTTAGCCCATCTGCGTGCTACAAAGCCGTGCCTTAATATCTGTCGAGAATTTTTTTTATAATTAAATTATCTGAAATGATGCAGACCTACTGTATTGAACTGATTTTTTTCCCCTCATCTCTAGAGTAAAGCCTACCACTGCTGACTTGATCAGTCAAGTCATTTTGCATCGAGGGGCACATACAGCCCACTTTGATCTTAAGTGGCCCAGTAAAACTATTTTTGTCAGTGTAAAGACATTTAATTGCACATTTAATCCTTAAGATATCTTACTATGAAATAAAGAAGTGTCATTTCAACACCACATTTCAGTTTTTCAACATGATAAATGTGTATATATAAAAAAAAAGTTTTGGCAGTTTTTCGCAATTGATGAAAATTTTGTTTTAACCAACATTTTTATAGTAGACAGTAAAAAACAGGACCTTTTCTGTCATATATAATTCATTATCTGCTTTAATGTAGCATGAATGGCTGTTGGCAGTTTGCCTTGTAATCGGAAGGTTGCCAGTTCGAGCCCCGGCTTGGACAGTCTCGGTCGTTGTGTCCTTGGGCAAGACACTTCACCCGTAGCCTACTGGTGGTGGTCAGAGGGCCCGGTGGCGCCAGTGTCCGGCAGCCTCGCCTCTGTCAGTGCGCCCCAGGGTGGCTGTGGCTACAATGTAGCTTACCATCACCAGTGTGTGAATGTGTGTGTGAATGGGTGGATGACTGGATATGTAAAGCGCTTTGGGGTCCTTAGGGACTAGTAAAGCGCTATATAAATACAGGCCATTTACCATGTAACATTGCTCAGGTGATACCAAGGGGCTCAAAGTGCGCCAAGAAAACATCTCCCACCTCATTACAGCACCATCAGCCTGAAGTGTTGGTACAAGGTGGCATGGATCCATACTTTCATGTCTGTACCTAACAACACTGGTGAGTGTGTGTTTTTATACTAGACCAGAGTTTTACCTGGCCCAGAAATGGCCTTTTTAGGTGGTTTGTTGTTGTTTTTGTTTGTTTGTTTGTTTTTATACCCATGCTTAGTTGTGCTTTTATTTAAGACAGTGAACCTGAAGTAACATATTTACAGCCATTTAATAAACAAAAGGAATTATATTTATCTCATGCGGTTTAGTCTAGGGGAGGGTCAAATTTCTCACCAGGCACTCCAGGTTAACTCTTTGCCTCTTATTTCTTTCTTCTTCCTTTTTAAATTTTGTATTCTTTACTTTTGAGTGACTTTCCATGTCTGTCACTTTGCTACTGGAACACCTGAATTTGCCCAATGAGGGAGAATAAAGGACGTTTCTTTTCTTTTTTTAGAATTTTTCTTTATAAAGAAAAGTGACGCGCTTTGACGATACTTTCATCTCTTTGTACAATTTTTATTTGTGCTCCTTTTTCCTTGCAAAGTCTGGAGGTCATGAGTTCACCCCTTGGCCGCGAAGCAGTGCACCTGCTTGTATTTGAGGCTGGGGGCTCTCCCTGCCCACGAGCTTTCGAAAGAGGCACGCGGCTCTACGACTCCGTACCGGAGCGCAAATATCTTCTTTCCTCCGCCGCGCGGTGCTGAGCACGCGGCGGGGAGCGCGGAGGAGCGGGACCGTGCGGTTCGGTGCAGCGCGGCCTGCGCACCTCGGGCCCACGACGGCGGCGTGCGAGCGAGCCGCTACCGCTAGCACGGTGCGCGCGACTGCATCCACACCGCAGGTCAGCCGTGCAGAGAAACACAAAAACCATTACAGATGCCCCCAGGTCAGTGTGAGAAACAGCCGCAGCTCTCAGAAAAGCGCAGTTAACATTTCGCGTCCTTTCAGCCCTCCGCGCCGAAAACAGCTGAACAAATAATAACTGCCATTAAAGTTGTAGCGAACAGAAAAAACAAGCGGCACACTCACTCGGAAGTCCCAGCTCCATGCTGATGCTTCTCCAGGAATTTGTCCGACTTTCTGTGCAGCGGTAATTCGGCAGTGTAACGTTGTAAAGCTCCGGGTAATTAAATACAGCCAATATTAACTTATCGTCCATTTTGCCCCAGCGTCGTCTGTGCTGCGCGGACGCGGAAGCGGCAGTCTTCTCCCGCCTTTTCCGCCCAGCAGCTGCTGCTAGCGCGTGTTATCGCGAGTGGCGGGCCGCCTGCCGCGCCGTGCCGTGCCGCTCTGCTGTCAACACTGCAGGCTTCCGCCACACGGGGGCGCACGTCACCTGTCAGCCCTGAACTATTGAGCGGGGAAGCTTTAATATGTATGCTTAATAATAACAATAATAAATTTCAAAAAATGTGTCTTTCTTTTGAAACCTCTTTTTAAATATAAACTTTTATCAGAAAGTCTGTTATTTGAATTTTTTTATGATTATTGAATCAGAATCAGAAAGGGTTTTATTGCCAAATGTTGAGTGGGTTTACAACATTAGGAAATTGCTGCGGTGCTTCAGTGCAAACATACTGTTATAAATACTGTTATAAATTAAGCTTAAATAGACATGAAAATAAAAATGAGAATAAGAATTAAAAGTGCTAAGTAGACAGATAGATATATACATGATATATACATGAGTGCAGGTGGTGATCAGTGCCAAACATGGAATGATGCAGTGAACACAGCGTAGGGTCATGTGTTAGTGGTGGGAACATTGTACAGCTTTAATGTCTTGTGACATAGGATGCTTTGAAGGGAGCCATTGAGTTTTCTTCCTGTTAGAGATGTTACAGAATAGTAGCTGTTGCAGTTTACCAGTGTCATCTTTGTCACATTTCTTTATTTTCATATATATATATATATATATATATATATATATATATATATATATATATATATATTAGGGGTGCAACGATACACAAAATTCACGGTTCGGTTCGGTTCGATACTTTGGTGTCACGGTTCGATATTTTTTCGATACAAAAAAAAACGTTCATGCCTTTTTAATTTGTCATTTATTAAAATTATAAATATATATTTTAACTCAAAAGTACAGTTTTTAAATTTAATGTTGCTGAAACAACAAAGTAATAAAAAAAATAAATCTATCTGATTGAGGAATCACTCATCTTTGGAAAAGAGAGTTTATTACAGAGAAATGGTTATTTCCAAAATAAAAGCTATACTATACGCTTCTTCTGGGCTATATTCTCAGCAGCATATTAAACATATCAGGTCCCCATAAGGAGAATCATGTGCTAACGGCTGTCTAAATGACTCGGGTAAAGTTTGTCGTTGCACCCCTAATAAATATATATACATATATATATTAGGGGTGCAACGATATTCGTATCGATATTGAACCGTTCGATACAGTGGTTTCGGTTCGGTACGCATATGTATCGAACAATACAAAATTTTTTATTTATTTTATCAACTTTCCTTCTGACGATGCTGTCTGTGTTGAGCGCTCAGTGGATCTGCGCTAGACATTGCAGCCTAGGTGGAGTAATCAAACGCAGATTCACTGAGCGCAGGGCAAGCTAGCCAGACAGGAGAGATGTGGCGTTGGAACTATTTTGGTTTTCATGTGGCGTATTACCCTGAAGGTAAGCACGTCATGGACAAAAGTAAAACAGTATGTTGGATGTGCCATGCAATGCTCAATTACATTGGTGGGAGCTAGTGCGTTAGCGCAGTTAGCTCGTTAACGTGTTGGCCGTCCAGCCCCACGCACTGGGCGATCCGCAGTAGCTCGTTAATGGAGATTTGCCGTGTTGTGGCGTTAAAATCATTTCAGATTAACGCTGACAGCACTAGTGGGAACAAAACGAATGTGACTGCACATTTACTCTGACATCATCCTAGTGCAAAGACAAAAACAACAAGCATGCTACAAACTTTACCCGAGTCATTTAGACAGACGTTAGCACACGATTCTCCTTACGGGGACCTGATATGTTTAATATGCTGCTGAGAATATAGCCCAGAAGAAGCGTATAGTACAGCTTTTATTTTGGAAAGAGCCATTTCTCTGTAATAAATTCTCTTTTCCAAAGATGAGTGATTCCTCAATCAGATATATTTATTTTTTTTATTATTTTGTTGTTTCAGCAACATTAAATTTAAAAACTGTACTTTTGAGTTAAAATATATATTTATAATTTTAATAAATGACAAATTAAAAAGGCATGAACATTTTTTTTGTATCGAAAAATATCGAACCGTGAATCTTGTGTATCGTTGCACCCCATATATATAAAATTGTCGTTATTATAATTATTATTATTACTTGGTTAATGTGTATTATAACAATATCAAAGCTGGCACATTGGGGGAAAGTCTGGAAGAAAAAAGAAAAGGGAAGAGAATATAATAAAATGATAGAACATAATTAGAAAAGCACAACACCTGGAAGAGAAAAATATGCAAAACCACAGATACACAAATCAACAATCTAGTTAAGACAGTTTACCACATGAAGACTACCTCTAGTATTCAGAAGTCAACACTGCAGGGCACACACTTTTCTAAAGTGGTTATGAAGAAAGCACAAAAGACTGCCATTGTGGGTCAAGTGCATGTTAACATTCGCCACTTTTCCTGCACCTAAACAGCTCCCAAGAGAGGAAATGTTGACACAGTACAAAGCAACAAGCTACTTCCACAAAGAAAAGAAAATGCAGCTACAATAAAGGCAGGAAAGATGCCGGCTGACTCTGTGGGAAGGAAGTCCTCGGAGCTTTTGTTAGCTTAATTTCTGGCTTACAATATTTACCTAGCTGGAAAAGTTGCATTCAAATATACTGTAAAACTGTACATGTAGGATTTATGTGTATTTATGTTTTAAGTCATACATACACGGATTTCAGATTAGCGTGGGAGATTAGAAGTGCTCTTTGTTTAGTTTGTTGGGAGCTAATCACCTAATATTTTATTAATTAAAGACACATTTCATTCATTATTTAATGATGTACTTACTTAAGTTATTTTGGCACCCTAGGCTTTCCTTAATGTCATCACCATACTGAGGCATCTCTATAGGTTAACCTGTGATTGGGGGTCTCAAGTAGACTTTATTTCATTTTAAGGAGTCAAAAGTCCAAAAGGTAAGGAAACCCTGGCATATAACCTACAGGATTTCTGCATTTATTACTGAACGTTGTCAGATCTTCATCTAAGTCACAGTTATAGACAAACACAATCAATAAGGTACTCAGTGCTTTTATTCTCATGTCTTTATTGAGTACACGAGTAATCAATTAAGGTGCAGGGATAAAAAAAATATTAAGTGAACCAAAACCCCTGTGCTACAGATTTCTCCAACTGCTGAAGTCAAGTGTCCCAAATGTAAGAGGTGAAACTGGAAGCATGGGCTGGAGGGGCGTCCCTCCCCTACATGAACGCACACAGAGTATGATTAAATTCAAAGTGCACATCTAACACAACAGCTTTCACAGGTCCTCAGAGGTGACTGGAAAAAGCTTGAAAAGGCCTTTTAAGGGCCTGTGTCGATCAATCCACAGTGAAGTGTGCACTCCTTTAAAAAAAAAATTAAAAAGGTGATAAAGAGCAGAACATCTGCACAAACCTCTTGAAGTCTTTGTTTATGTGTGCATTTGAGCTGTCAGTGAAATGAAATGAAAATGATACAAATCGAATCTTTAATTTGTTTAATGTGTTTTTTGTCTGTTTAGCTGTTATTTATTTTTGGGAAATGAATAAAATTGTAAATATGAGTGTGAAGAGGAAGCGAGTCTCTATAACCTGAGCTGCAGAATGAAAAAGCAGACCAAAAAAAGAAATTGCGCAATTTTTCCCTGTTACTCCCTTTTTGATTCCATCTTTTTCTTGCAAGCTCAGTCTTGCGCCATGATTTTGAAGCAAAACAAACTAAACACCAGATCCCACTTCAGGTCCTTGAGGGGATATAATATATATTTTTTAAAAACACAATAAAGAAAAACATTGTGCAATGCAATTAAAAAATACTTTATGCAACAATGGAGTGGTACTCCAGATTCCTCCTCCCTGTTGGTGCATTATGTCTACAGTTTTTTTTTTTCTGCACAAGTTCAGGAGGAAACAGAAAGAGTAGGAGGGTGTGATCCCCCGGTTGCCCTGATTCAATCTCTGTTTCTGCAGGAGGTATTGGGCCTGGGTCCAAACACCAAGCACCAAGCAGAGAAGCTGAGCATTTTCACACGTCAGCGTTCTGCTGCCTTGCACAGCTCCCTGCTCGTTTATCAACAGTCCGTGTGTGGGTGTATTTATAATCCAGTGTCTCCTGTCTGATGTGCACTGATTTGATTTGTGTCCTTTAATCTTCTCATTTTTTCCACCCACGCGCTTTCTGTCTGACTAGCCATTTAAAATATAAGACTGTGACACGTAACCCTAAAGAGCGCACACGCTCAGAAGCATCCAAGCAAATCAACATTCTGTGTGGCAACTAATATTTTCCAGGCTCTGTCTTTCAAATGCAGTGTCACACAACAAAAAAGAAGTTATTATAATGATTACAGTGTCTCATTCACCCTCCGCCTCATTTAGTTTATTTATTCAGTCTTCTCATAAAACACAGACAGTGTCATCTTCTTCTCTTCTTTCAGCTGCTCCCTTTAGGGTTCATCTGCCTTCATCTCATCGTCTCCCCAGCCTCCTCCTCTGTCACACCAACCCCCTGCATGTCCTGCTTCACTACATCCATGAATCTGCTCTATGGTTTTCCTCTTTTCCTCTATCTCTCCTCTCCAAATCTCCAAACCATCTCAACCTTGCCTCTATAACTCCCACTGACAATCTTAGCATCCAGCTCTTCCACCTTCAGATCCACCTCCCGTCTTATTGTTAGTGCCATCGTCTCCGAACCATACATCACAGCAGGTCTCACTGTCGTCTAATCATCCTTTCATTATTGCTGTTATCCTTCCGTCACAAATCACCCCTAACACTCGTGTCCTCTCGGTCCACCCTCCTGCGCTCTTATCTTCACCTCTGTTGTGCTCTGTCCACTGGTTTGGATGACTGAGCCCAGGTACAGCCTGATATTTCACCTTCACTACCTCTCTTCCTTGCATCTTCACTGTTACACCCATCTTCCTCTCACTGACACACATATTATGTTTTGCTTCTTCACCTTCACTCTCTTCACTTTTTTGTGTATTTCCATCTCTGTCCTTAATCACCCTGACCATCAGTTCAATCTCTCATGAGTCCTTTTCTTCTTCCTTAGCGTCCAGCCTCAAATATAACTCTTTGAAAGCCTTTTTCTTGTCTCTTTGCTGCTATACGCCTAGCCTCCTGGTACCCCTGCCTCCTCTCTTCATCTCTTCGATTATCCCACTTTTTCTTTGCCAACTCCTTCCTTTAAATACTTTCCTGTATTTTCACAACCAAGTCTCTTGCTTTTCTGCCCAGAGGATACAGCAAAAGCCTTCTTGCCAGTTTCCTTCAGCACTTTAACAGTTATCTGTTATCTGCACAACATTCTACTTTTTTCAACCTCCACTATTTAATCCTTGCCTCTGCCTTCACGCGCTTCCTCTTGTTGATTTCCATCCTACAGACTACTATCTGATGCTGTGTAGATACATCCTCCCCAGACTTCTGCAGACCTTCTGCACTGGAGATAGTCAACCTGTCCACCTGTGTATTGTAGAGGCAGCCAATCAGAAGAATGTTGACAGAGGTGCTGAGCCAAGGTCCATTTTAATGATTATGATTATGAAATTATTATTTTGAACAGTTATTCATTCACAACTACCTTATAATACCATACCAACATACTTTATTTATAAAGCACTTTTAAAAATACATTGTACAATTCATGTGATATTCAGTGTAATAAATTCCAGCATATCAAGCAAGATTTTTCCTTAAGACAAAGAGTTTTATACTATTTTGAATCTCCTAAAAATGCGGAAAAGAATTCATCTGCCACCCATCGGCTGTGGTTCTTTTCTCTTTTACTCCTTGTACCAAATATTGCTTACAACAATAAAATGGATCTTTATTGTTGTAATCCCCAGTAATGAATTTTGAACTGTTTGAACCAACATGGATATAGTACAATTCCTTCTATTGAGAACCACAATAACTGCAGATAAGGATCTCACTTTCTGCGCAAACTATACATCAACAATCTGGATGCTATTAAACCCGAGTGAAAAGGATGAGATGGTGTTTATTGTTATCTGTTTTCAAAAAGCGCTTATAAAGGGAGCTTAGGACAGATTGTGGAAATCCATTAATTCTCTGGGAGGGGGAAAAAAAAGGTGTATTGCCTTGTATGAAATCACAGGATTTGTCGGGGTTGGAGGTGGTGGTGGTGGGGGGGCTGAATTTAACCTGTAATAGCTTTACCTCAGCTGCGCACATTGTCAGAAAAGTCAGACTGAAAAGACTGCAGCACAAAGATAAGACACATGATGCACGATCGTGAATACAAACGACTGGGATGGATCCATATCTCTGAATTTTCTCTCTCTGTGTGCAAACATACACGGGCCAAATGAGTCACCCCATCATCTGCAGCGCCCTAATCACTTTGTAATCACTTTAAGTCTGCATTGTTGTTGACAGTGTAGCCCCAGCTTGTGTAAATAAATATACCAATTTATGCAGGATCGTTTGTTGACAGAGCTATACGTGGAAGCGACATTATGAAGTGAATTTGAAGAACTAATCCTCAGACTCAGCATACACAAGTCTGTGGCCACACCAAGAACGCTCATCTTTAAATCCAGGTTTCTAATACCAAGAAATCCCCTTTCCTCTAAAACCTTAACAATAAGGATCTTAGGAGCTCTCCACTTCTCATTTTATGCAGCGAAATCTGATTTCTTTTGAAGAAAGGAATGAGGCGAGATTAACTGAATCTGCCATCCTCCCTAACCTCTTCACAAAACTGCCCAGATTAGCAAGGAATTAAGTTTCAACCGTTTTTATGTGTCTGGTCCATAGGGGGGATTATGGTTTTACTTCTTTTTTTTTGGCCTCCCAATTTCACTATAAGGGCTTGACACGCTGCTGTAAAGAGAAGAAGGAGAAGGAGAAGAGCAACTGAGGCTCGAAAAGTCCTCTGTGTGTGTGTCACAATAACCTGTGATCACCACTGCTTTTGAGCTTTCACTGAAACCTCTTTGGAGGTGGACTGATCAGGATGGAGAGGCAGAAGTTCCCCTTTACTATTGAGAACATCCTGAAGTATCCGAGCAGGAGTGGAGATAAACGGTCCTACGGAGCGAGTGGTCTTGGCTTAAAAGAGAAGACAGTGAGTCCTGCTGGAGGCCAAACAGAGGCGGTTCATCATGCCTGCCTGTGCTGCTGCTACTGCTCCCACTGTGCTGACATACTCCAGCCTGACTTCATCCACGAAGGTAGGACCATACCTTCCGCTTTGTCTGTGGTTGAGCTTGATTCTGCTCCCCCAACCTTAAATCAGACCTCCTCCCTGCAGCTTGTCAGTATGGCTGGAACCCAGCAATCCTCTCAGATTCGTGCAGGCTGGGAGACACTCACAGGGAGGAGCAGTCACCCAGTCAACAGAGGCGAACCCGGCGTCACCGGACCATTTTCACTGAGGAACAGCTGGACGCACTGGAGGAGCTGTTCCTGCAGAACCAGTACCCAGATGTGAACACAAGAGAGAAACTCGCACAGCGCACTCACTTAAGAGAAGAGAGAGTGGAGGTAACACTGCAGCATCACATAATTGTTTTTATTAAATATGATGGTCTGCTAATAATGTAAATGTGAATAAAGACTACTGTAGATACTGAATTTAATAAAATGACAGCTCAACAATGTTGCCTCTTTTCTGTCAATCAGGTTTGGTTTAAAACAGAAGAGCCAAGTGGAGACGTCAGAAAAGACTTTCATTTGTTGTGGGAAACACAGAAAAAAAGTGAAAAAAAAAGAAGTTTGCATGGCTCTGTGTGATCCAATCAAAATAGTTTGCATATACCTATATGTAACATATAATTCTTATATGTAACCATATATGTAAAATCCTGGCATGTATTGATACTATTACTGTAAGTAAAACCTTGAATTTGTAAATGGGTTGTTGTAGTTTGCACAGACTGTTAAAAAAAAACGTGTCCTTGAGAAAAAATACAGTTGTCTGGGGATTTTTTTAAGAAAAGAAGAAATGCCTTTTTTGTGCCACCAATAGAAAACGCAGCTAACTTATTATTATTACGGTATTATTATTATTATTGTTATGATATTTTGATACCACGGTAAGCATTTACAGGATATTGTTTTATACAGGAAAACTGTTACTCAATAAGGCCGATCTACTAGTTGTTTTTCTCTTTCTCTGTGACCAAGAATTAATGTGTAGGACTCACAGGCTGGTACCAGAAGGTCGAAAACACCACAGAGATGAGACCACTTCCTTACTCCCATCCTCCTTTTTCTTTATCTCCTGGAAAAGGCTCGTTAAAGGCTAGGTGGTTTGTTTCAGAATTCACTGATGAAAGAACTCTGTATTCTATGTCTAGGAGTGTATTTTGCTGGGATGATCATAAATTATAGCTGAACTGATAAACTACACACAGGATACTACTTTGCTCAGAAGGCAGGAAGACGTTTCCTTATTTAGTCTGTACCGGTTTGAACTGGGAAAGCTGACACACGAACCTTTTTTTCTCTATATAAACTGCTGTGTATCAAATAAACCTTTGAGTCGATTGGGAAGGCAACCTAAAGCAGTCTCTGTTTTCTTGTTCTCCCAAGCTGCTCCCGAGCTCGTACTAACACGCTGAATGGCATACCTGAGTGTTACTTTAAATAATTAGGAATCTTAGAAGGAAAGGACAGAACTCTGCTTATCGCTCACGCCACGGAGGAAACCCGGGAAGGCAATTTCCTTCAATTATTTTTTATTTTTTTTAATAGAATTTTAACGCCTTACTTTATCGATTTCTTTAGCATTTCTTTGTCAAACAAACGACCAGGGGTCAGAACTAGCCCGCCAAAGAGTCCAACATGGCTCAGTGGATGGTTTGCTATATCTGAAAATTACAATGAAGTCATTAATATGTTTAGTATGTCTAATATAAATTTTCCCACAAAATGTTGTTCGTTTCTGGTGATGACAGGCATGAAAATGTTTCAAAAGTTTAAATCACTTCTGACTAATTGTTTACACTGTAAATAAATATATAAAAAAATTATTAAATTGTTAGGCACTAAAAACTCCACATGTGAAGGTCTTGTGCTTTTGTAAAGCCACTGTGAGACATGACACTAGAGTTTGTCTTCTGTACTGTAAATGGAGTGTAAGTGTATTTCATGAAACAAAAACTATATAAAGCCTTTTTAAAAATTATATATATAAATATTTTTATTTTTTTTTTTTATTTAAGTTAAGGTCTGCGAACTATCAAACCGCTGTTGGCTTTCAGGGTTTATTTTGGAAAATTCTAGCGAAGCCGTAAATTTCCGGTGACGTAATTGTTCGGCTGTGCGTTGTTTGTACGCTGGTGGCTAAAAGTCAGCTAATGTGTTAGAGTTGGTGGCGTTGGGCATTTTTAAGTATCGGGTTTTTACGTTGTTGGTTAACTATTTAAACGGTGTTAACCCACTGAAAGAAACACCCTCTAATAGCTTAATTTTCGTCGCTATTTGTAGTAGAAGATTATTTAGCCATCTGGCTAGGAGGCTAACAGGGACCACAATGGAGGGCAGCGCCAGCGTGAGGAAAGCACTGTCCGGGACTCTCGTCCCTTTGGCGGTCTCAACAGTGGCTCTTCAACAGCAACCAGAGGATGAGGAGAAGGGAACGCTGAAGAGAAACGTCCTGGATGAGGAGGAATACATTGAGGTAAATAATAGCAGACATAGACAGGCGCGACTGTGTTAGCTAACAACTGTAAGTTAGCAGGCAGGTAATGTACAACACAGCTACATTTCTTTAGACTAAATACTTTATTGTACTAGTCTGGACAGACATAGAAGTGTATAACAGCTCCAAATATTATGCAGTCAGTGTGGAAAACGTGTTTACTTATCAAATCTACGTATAGGTTTAAAGTAAGGTGCTTGTTATGACAGTACTTCACGATATGAAAGTGCAATAGCAAATTGCTCAAGTAAGGATTAAGTTACTAAATTTACATGAATAGCATGGTAATGGCATGCTTATACCCCGAAAATATTTGGTTAAAAATTGTTTAACCAGTTGCACCACGACGAGACACTTAAGTAGCTATCAAAAAGCCCTAAATAAATCTAGCTGGATATTGGATCACTCTTCTTAGAAGAATTGTTAGAGTTCATTTAAACTGATTTGGTTCCTGGCACAGACGTGGCTTTAACCGCAGTCCACAAGTTTTACAAATTTTCTTGTGTTGGAGCACACAGCCCATTGCCACAATGCCATCCAGAGGGTCTTTTAATAATGCTACTGTTTCACACAGTGGGGCAGTCAGACCACAGGGTCTCTTGATAGGACCTAGATGGCCATCAAGGATCTGGTTCTCCACACTCCTCAGTCTGGTGAGTGGGGTCCTGTGTGTCTGTATACTGTGGCAACTCAGAGTTTAAGCTCAGAGCAGGGCTATATGTTATATTTGTAAGAAAAAGGGAAAAGCTCTGCCAAAACAGCTTTCCCACCAGATTGTTGACACAGTAAAACAGATGTACAAAAAGTCTCTTCAGATATTAGTTGCCACACTACCAGGAACATTGCCTGGGCAGTAATTCGAGGTGTTCCATGAGGGGAAATCTGTGCAGCAGAATCCTTGGCAGTGCCTTACACGGTTGCTAGGGTCACCTGACTTAATCTGGTCTCAGGACCCACTCAAGCTTCAACTATTCTGCCATTGGCTGACCAGTAAGTTTTTCCTCACGACACTGCTAGTATAAGTCATCTTCATTGTTTACTGCAACTTCTGTAGGCAGGAGGGAAAGAAACCTAATTAAAGTTACAAAAGTTACCACGGTTCTGTGAACTCCCAGATAACTGCCAGTCATGCAGTTCACTTGGAGCATCTCAGTGCAAGAACATTTATAGAGATCGGATGTAGGGTACCGGGGGGTTTTATGGTGTACACGCGTAGGTAGCCTACAGGTCACACAGTTGACTTTGTTTATATGAAATCTCAACCTGCACTGAGCACAAGAAGACATAGCTGCATTGTTTATTGTCACTGGCAGTCTTCTGGGAATTCACAGAACCATAATTACCTTCGTAACTTCTGTTTGGAAACCTCACCTTTAGTCCTCCAAATGTAACTCTTGACATTGTGGCCAATGAGCTCAAACTTTGTCACTTCTGACCATAAAACCTTTCTCCAGAAGGCATTTGGCTTCTCCATGTGGGCAGCAACAAGTTTAAGTCGAGTTTTTAAAGGTATCGATTTTAGAGCAGAGGCTTCTTTCTTGGTCAGCTCCCAGTTGGTCCACAGTGAGTGGAAAAACTTTTTTTTTCTTCAGCAGTTTTCAGTTCATGGCAGGTTTTATGCCTTGGTGGTTACAGGGTTGTTCCTGAACAGCCTAACCAATTTCCTGTCATCTGAGGTTGACAGTTTGGATTTTCTTTAAGACCTCTGCAAAGTGGTGACACATCTGTTAATCTTTTACGTACAGTTATTTGAAATGATGATCTTGTAATCTGCAGTTGTTTAGAAATGGATTCAAGAGATCTTTGCAACTTGTGTAAATCTAAACTTCTCATTCTTAGATCTTCATTGTGTTCACTGGACCTTCCCATTGTTCTGAGTATTGGTCAATCCAGTGACTACAGTCAAACAAATCCTTTCTATGCTGGTGAAGAGAAAATACCAGTTGTAGTCAGTCGTGATCAGTTACACAAAGTTTTGTCCTTGTTGTGTCCTTGCCCTTGTTTTGGCTTTGTTAAACCTTTAGCAACACTCAAAAGATTTTAGTGTGTGTATATATTGAACCTGTTTACATATATCTAACCCTGTTTGAATTAGAGAAAATCCAAAGTGAATTCAAATGTGTACACTCTTGTTTTTTTGTTGTTGTTAATTTTTTAATTGATTAAAGTCGTGTACTGTGCAGTAATTGCACCATGGAAACAAACTATTCAAAAAAAAAATTAAGACTAAAATTACCATGACATCCATGCCCATGATGAGTGTATGTAAACATCTGAACACATCTCTATGTGCCATAAGCCCATATTTCCTGGTAATATGTCCTCTGTATTAACCTTCTGCTTGTGTTTTGTTTTTGTTGACAGAGCTTAGAGAAAATTATCCAGAGGGACTTTTTCCCAGATGTGACAAAGCTGCAGGCACAGAAGGAATATCTTGAAGCAGAGGAAAATGGAGACCTGGAGAGGATGAGAGAAATTTCCATCCGATACGGATCTTCGTTGACAAAATCTACACCGCAGTCTTCTGCACCATGTGAGTGAAGTGGAATTAAATAAGACATTATGTGTTCTCCAAGTAAAATACTTGTTAATGATAAAATACTTGAATTCAACAGGTGTTTTTTTTCTCATTCAAATTTTTTCTTTCTCTTCTGTTTGTGTAAGATGTGACGCCTGCTAGCTTTGAAACACCAGTGGGCCAGTTGGGATCCCCTGCTTCCACTTATTCTGCTAAAGCTGTAGATGGAGGTAAGTAAGCAGGGTGATGAACACATAACGACATGCAGTAAATGTGTAATTTGTTAAAGCTTCACATCCACGTCTCGCTGTTAATCCTTCTTTTGACATTTACATGCTTTCCCATATTGTATACCATTCTGTTTCTCATTAGTGGTTAACATGTTTGGCACTAAATTGATCGACTATGAGAAATTATTGGTATTTTTTCTTTTTTTCTAGAGAAGAGGGCTGACGACACAGAAGAACAAAATCTGCCCAGCCTGGACCGCTTCCTCGCTAAGAATACCAGTGAGGATAATGCATCCTTTGAACAGATAATGGATCTGGCAAAAGACAAGGAGAAACTGAAGCATGCCTGGTTGTATGAGGCTGAAGCTGAATTCAAACAGGTATGGATGGTTAGCTGTGTAAATGCAGGTGTGCTGATCTGTTTTCTGGGGCTTTCATATGTTCACGAGTGTCAATTTATCGCAAAAACTTGTAAAAGTATTTAAATCATTGCATTAGTTTCCCACAGACTTAAACTCATAATTTGTGGTGATGTGGAGCACGTATGTTAGGGATGACCATTTAAACTAGAATTGTTATTCACCAAAAACTAGAAACAGTTTTTTTGAGATTGCTCACTCTAGCTTTACCTGGTGGAGTTTGCGGTGAACCAGATTTTTTTGTTTTGTTTTTCAGGCTGTAGTCCTCTTTGGCTCTGCATGTTTCCCCTGTTTTATATAGTAGCATCGCATCTGAATGTGCCACACGCCTTTTATCTGCCAGCAAATGGAAGCTAATGTGTTGCTTCTTCTATTTGCTCATCGCATGGTGGTCAGCGAACAGTTTGTAGGACCATTAATACCACTTCCTTCTGGTAGAGGTGCATTATATATTCACTTAGTATATATACTAACTAATTATATACTAACTAATTAAATTATACTCAGGATTTATTCCCCCCTTTAATAGCAGTTACATTGCTTAAAAAAATACTTTGTGCAGCTGTTTCTTGTCTTAAAGGATAAACAGCATTTTCCATTCTTTTTAAAACAAGAAAAAAGAAACTCATGTCTGGTATGACGTAATAGACTTGTGCCACCAGAAGGTGACATTAGTGCACCCAGAAGCTTTGTCAGCTGCCAATAAACAAGAACACGAAGCTATTTCCCAGATGCTACTGTACAAACAGAAGATTGCTTTTATAAAGATTTTTACCAAGACAGTCTTGTGCAGAACTCCTTAAAAAAAAAACCAAAAGACAAAATAAATGTAAATAAACTTTAGTCACTCCACCAGGTAAAGCTAGTGTGACGTAGTGTAACTTCTGAGAAGAGTTTGGAGTTGAAGAGGATGAGTATGAGTCCCTTATTCTAAAGATAGACTCCTAACAGGAGTCTTTGTTTCACAGTCTTTCAAAATAAGAGCAACAGGCTTGTCGAGTAAAGTAAAAGTGTAAAGTGTGCGTGTTAGTCCCCATAGGGAAATAGTTCCTCTGCATTTAACCCATTCACCCAGTGAAGCAGTGGGCAGCCACCAGTGCAGCGCCCGGGGAGCAGTGTGTAGGGACGGTACCTTGCTCAGGGGTACCTCAGGGTAGCCGTTCAGTGGAGTCGAACCCCCGACCTTCCGATCATGGGGCCACCACTCTACCTACTGAGCTATCCCTGCCCCTGAGTAGTAAACCACTCACCTAAAACATGCTAAACTGAGTCACCAAATAGACTTAGGTGAGTGTTAATAGATCCTACCTCTTGGCTGCATTCAAATCATTTATAAAAGCTTGTGATTGTTTTCCAGCGTCATGAGCAGAACCTTGCCTTACCATCAGTAGAGAAGGCAGCACTCGAATGCACCAAAGCTGGACTGGAGACCTGGGAGTACAAAGCCAAGAATGCCTTGATGTATTATCCAGAGGGTAGGAGGCTTGAGCGTCGGTAGTTGTGTGAATTTGCAAAATTGGCTAAATTCACTTGTGTGTGTCAGTGAGTGAGGTTTTTATTTTGTTCTACAATTATTATTATTTTCTTCCTTTTTTAAAATCAGGTGTTAAAGATGATGATGCCATCTTCAAGAAACCAAGGGAGGTGGTTCACAAGAACACTCGCTTTGTTGGAGACCCATTCAGCAAAGCTCTCAACAAGAGCCAGATTCAGCAGGCAGCAGCTCTCAATGCACAGGTAGGTGTTGTTAATGTGATACTGTATTTAAAACAATGACTGTCGTTGCCTTTATGTGCCACTTATTTCTGAATGAAGTGCTTGCACTGCCTGCCAGTCTGTTCAAATGGAGGTAGGGGAGGCAAAAAAGTGGATTTCTTGATGATGCAGAACATATGTTGTGTTGTTTCTGTAGTTCAAACAGGGTAAAGTAGGTCCTGATGGGAAAGAGCTTATCCCACATGAATCCCCATCAATGAATGGATATGGTTACGTAAAAACTCCTTCACCTGCACCTGGTGAGTAATCTTATTATTGTGCTTTGCATAGAACAGACCTGTTCCATTATCTGACTGGGGCAGCTAAAGAATTAAAAGTTTACCACATTGAACTGTTTCCTTATCAAAGACGTGATGTGACTACGTTTCGTCTGTTCGCTTCGCCTGCTGCCAAAAATCAAGCCCCCCCCCTCTCATTGTTAGCGATTGTGGTATTTGATAGACAGCAGATAAAACATGAATACCAAAGTATCTGTTTCCACAATCAGCTTGGAGCTGCTTTGGCACTAGATCTCTTAATGCATTTGTCCTTTCAGGTGTAGCTGAGTCACCTCTGATGACCTGGGGTGAGATCGAGAGCACACCATTTCGTCTGGATGGATCAGACACCCCGTATGTTGAGAGGAATCATGGACCTTCTTTTAAGGTGCTGAGAATTTACAGGTGGATTGATGGTTAATTTGTAATTGTTTAAGTAAAATAGTTGACTTTAATTACCTTTTGTTAAAGATCCCAGAACCAGGGAGACGAGAAAGGCTTGGTTTAAAGATGGCCAACGAGGCTGCCGCTAAGAACCGTGCAAAGAAACAGGAAGCGTTACGAAAAGTCACAGAGAACCTTGCAAGGTATTGATGCTCACTGCGTCTGTCATTTCATTTCTACCAGAATTAAAGTTGTGAAGTCTTGAAGAAATGAAACTAACATTATATTCTTTGTCTTGCAGCCTGACGCCTAAAGGTTTGAGCCCGGCCCTTTCGCCTGCCCTGCAACGGCTCGTAAATCGGACTTCCAGCAAATACACAGACAAAGCACTGCGAGCAAGTTACACCCCATCACCCTCACACAGACTCGCTGCATGCAAGTCTCCCTTCGGGGGCCCGGCGACTCCTTCGGGAACGCCAACGCCAAACAAAGCAAAGACTCCAAATTCTCAGGACGTCACGTCGCTCACAGACAATCTGCTGCAGCTTCCCAAAAGACGGAAAGCATCGGACTTTTTCTAAGAGCAGCACCTCTCTGCTTGGATTGTACAAAAAAAAGACTTAACATATACATTAAAGAGCACATCATTTTGCTGGAGGACTGGAAAAAGAAATAAATGGTGGAGTAGAGACTATAAAAACTTTATGCACTAAAATGCAACAAAGGTCATTGTAGGTCCAAGAGAAATAATTTGAATGTCTGAATTCTATTTTGATTTTATTGTCTTTATCTCGCATACAAGGGTTTTTGTTTGTTGTTTTTTTTTGGGTTTTTTTAAACAGCTCCTGCTACTCTAACAGACTGACATTCTCAACAGACAATATTTGCATATTTTAAATCATTTGTATTGTCATTGAACGTTTTTCCCAAAAAATTCACAGATAAATGAGATGACATTTCAGAGTTTCTCTGCTTCACAGGAATTAATCAGGACAGGAACAGGAATCTCCGGCTGCCGTGTTTCCAAATGGGAGAAGAAAATGTGTTTTATTAAAGCTTGAGCCTGCTCTCACCATCATAAAGATGTAGAACCCTTTCCTAAACTTTCTAAATGTAAAATATACCTTTTGGGGCTAAAATCTGTGTTTGCAATCAGATAATGAATTGTCAGCCGTATAGTTTTGTTCTCCCATCTGTTGGTGCTAAAGGAGTTGGGTCAGGGTCCAAATAAAAAGACCTGTCATGCTTTTATGTTTTCAAATGCTCCAGTTTGCCTTCAGTCTGGTTTGCTGTCAGAACTGATGGTAAAGAGGCCCCTTTTTTTTTTTTTTTTTTTAACTTGCCACAGATTTAAAGTGTCACCCTGTCAGTTGTGTGCATCCTAGTTAAAGTTAACATTTTATTTGATCTAAGTATGTTTTATCTCAAAGAAAAAGGTGCTTGTGTAGAGTTGCCACACACTTTTCATGTCCATATGTCCATTTAAAGAATGATTGGCCTGACTAAAAAAATATATATTTTTCCAATGTTAGAGATTCCTTTCTTGTGCAGGACAGCACTAAGACATGGCAGAGACAATATTTACATTTAAAATAAATAAAGCCAATACGAAACTTCAGTCAAGTAGTTATGAAAGCTTGTCAACGTTTTAAGTTGCTATCTCAAAGTTTTGATTACAGATGGCAAAAAAAGTTTTGGGTTTTTTGTTCAGTGGTGGAAAGGAGCTTCCATAAGTAGGTGTCATCTGACAATACAGCTATTTTCGTACAAAGGTCTCACCTGTTTCCTCTTACCTCCATTTTTTGATAGAGGTAAGGGTGAATAATAAAACATTATTGTTTCAGCTGAATTTACTCCTTTTTAATAAGCTACTGACTCTAAATGATGTTGTAGTAAAGTGGGAAGAGATTGCATTCACTGTCTGTGTTGTCTGAAAGAATAATTCCACTGATCATTAGGTCTTCTAGTGCACAAACAATGTGATTTATTTTAAATGTAAGCTTCTTCAGTTCAATTCAAGTTTATTTATACAGCGCCAAAACACAACAACAGTTGCCTCAAGGTGCTTTACGGTAAAAACTCTGCAGTAGTTTTGGAGAAAACCTCAACAGTCAGATGATCCCCTGTGAGCAAGCACTAGATGATTGTGGGAAAACTCCAGTTTACCAGGAAGTGACCTCTGTTTGGATCAGGCTCAGGGAGAGGTAGCCATCTGCCCCAACCGGCTGGAGGGGTTGAATGGAAACTTAAGTAAGATTCATAATAGCTTTAGGACAAGGTTTGTCATCCACATTCCACAAACTTCATCTAGACATGTTCCAAATGTCTGGCACGATTTAGTGTTGTTGGGTTAAACTATACTCTTTCTCAGCTGCTTTTTTCCTTAATTTTTTATTGAAAAAGACTATTTGGTTTAAAGTCTTTCAGAATTGACATAGGTTTGTATAACTTTGCAGGATAAATTATCTAAAGTTTAATTTTCTTTAAAAAAAAAAAAAAGTTCTAAAAAGAAAACATAAAATGTGCACACAGCTTGAAATATGTGCAAATTATCTGAAAGTAAATATTTTCAGCTTTAAACTGAACTGACTGTTTTAAATACATTTACAACAAAATAGAAAAGACAATACTAAATACAATCAGTTAAATTTACAAGAATAACAGTTATATTTAGAACGTTTTATTCGATACATTAGTCTTAAAACCCTTTTCTCACGTTAAATATTATTATTTCCCAGAGATGATAATAATAATAATAATAATAGTATGATGTACATCTTGTGCCTTTTTAGTTTTATCTTGAGTCAAAGAAATTATTTAACTAGCGATATTTAGAGTTGAATGGCCTCAGCACACACACAAACACACACGCACGCGCGCAGTAAGCCCCGCCCCTGGCTCCAGCTGATGGCCTGTGTGTGCGCGCTGCATGTTTGGGATTGTTGTGATGGGAGGCCGCGGCCATCTTGGATGAGAGTCGCTCGGCACCGAGCAGCGGGAGGGACGTTAACGGCAGAGCGGCTCAGCTAGCTAACGTTAGCCCCTCGGAAGCACGACCCTGGTCGCTGAGCGGTACGACTATGCTTGTGCACACGCTGTTTTCTTCCCTCAGCTGCCGCTCCGACTGCGTGAAAATGGGCACAAATTGCGTTCAGCTTTTCGCGGTGTAGTTTCGGAAAGGGCGGCGGCGGTGCAGATCCTCGGAATATATCTTACATTTCTGGATAGAGGAGTTACTATGAATGGAGGATAAATGTTGCCGAAAGCTGACAGCAGCAGTTTCGTCCTCTTCTCTCTTCTCTTCGTCCTCACCTTAACGGACCCACCACGGGCAGGTAAATAGCCTCTCCGAGTTGTTTTTCTTGTGCATGTATTCCCCCCGGGCTCTGCTAGAAAGTGGGAGAAACGGATTAGAGCTGGAGGCAGGGGGCGGCAGGTTCACCGGGGAGGCCTGCTCCACAAGCCGGGGACTCCGGTACTTTTTAACCCGTGTTCCTGCTGCTGCTGGACAGCGGGGAGGACCCCTTTACTGCTGCTGCTGGCACTCTTGTTATGTTTAATCTTTTAAAGTAATGCCCACCAGCTTGAAATCTCTAAACGAAATTATAATTTATTTCACCTGAAAATCAAGTAAGGCTGTGTGTTGTTGTCAAAATAAACAAGGTCGCTTCGAGTCAACCGTCTAGTTTTGACCTTTTGATACAGCTCATAATCATTTATTCACTTAATTGTGCTTACGCAAGGTGGAAACGATATCTTGGCTCAATCCAAAGCTTTGTAAACAATGTAGGTGTATTTAGGCTTCACTACATTCCAGGGTTGGTCTCCGCTTCCGCCGTGAAGCCTCAATTTGAAATGCATGTCAGAGATTCATGCTCCTGCATCACTAAACCTGTCTCACATCATAGAGCTGCAAGCCCAGGCACATCGCACTACACACCAGTGTGATGGCTAAAACGATAAAGCTGTCTGAAGGAAACTTCTTAGTTGATGAATAGAGATTAAAGGGTAATGCGTCATGTCTCTGTGGCAACATAAGCTCGTAAGCTAATACTCAGGGCTAGTGGTGCCACTATATGAATATAGTGGTCAAAAAAACATCTGTATAGAAAAATTCAGTTTAACTTCATTTATTGGATGTTTTGTCTTATTTTGACAAATTGCTTGCACTAAAAATCTGCAGCACATTAGTGCAGGGAGTAGAGCAGGGTGATATGGCCAAAAATATTTATCACGATATATATTTGAAAATTTGCGATAACGATATAACCGACGATATAATTGATGCGAGACAAAATACAACTCCACAACATTACTAGCGCAAAAAGACAACCTTCCATTTATTTTCACTTAAACAAGAAGCTGGTTTTTATGTACATTAAAGCTTTATAAAAATGTAACAGTGCAAATGCAAATTCCTTGCTGAAAGTTTAACCAAAAGGCATTTCCAGTAGAAATGGGCTGACATATCCTGAGCATAACCATGTATAATATCCACTGAAGTTAAAAAGAGGTGCAGTACGCATTTTTCGGACCATAAGGTGCACGGGATTATAAGGCACATTAAGCGAAACAAAGCAGTCAGATAAATCAAACTTTATTAAACTCATTCTTCTTGCTTCCTCCACTTCTGTACCATTGATTCATTAATGTTGAATTCTCTGGCAGCTGCTCTATTCCCATGTTGTTGCAGTATATTAATGACTAACCTCGTATTGTGGATGGATTATCTCAGTTGTTCTCCTGACTGAAGTTTGGTCCTTTTACAGCATCCTGCCATGCGATTGCATTTGTCTCTAACCATGAAGAACCTTCACGTTAACTTTTATAAGTGGAAAAGTGTTAGTGTTCGTCCTCCAGCTTCACTGTTTATGTTATGCTAACATAGCTGTGTCGCTAGCGATCACGTAGCACATCATTATATACCAGCTAGCCCAACTTCAGTAACCCTACAAACGTCACTGCTGTTTAGTTTCCTGTCTTCATTTATGTTGGAAGTGATAGCAGAGCTGTACGTTTGATTTTTTTCAGAAATCTCTCAGTCAGAACATGCAATATCATGCTTAGGTAATTAGCGAAACTAGCGAGCTAACTTCCGCTAGCTTCCTGCTAACTTCTAACTCCGTTAAATGTAATAACTTTTGTTTTCATGGATGCCTGGAAGTTAAACTTTATAGTTACACCTGGTAAAGCAGCAATGCTGATCGTTTTATTAAAGATGAAAGAATTTAGACAGTTTTTAACTCTAAGTGATGCTGCAGTGTTGTTTGACCTGAAGCATATGGAGTTTAGGACCCAGATTACTCCCAGATTTAAGAGCATCTTAGTCCAACAAATATGACAATAACGACGGCCGCTTGCATGTTCTGCAAAAAAATGTGCTTTGTTGTGTATCTGACGGACAAACACCAAACCAGTTCCACATCACGGAAGTTGCACCATTTTTACAAACCAATTCTGGTTCATCTGTTTCACTCAACAATCGGCCATGTGCGTATGAAAACAAAGGCACTGCGCATGCGCGTTTTACTCCCATTCTATCGCGATATTTCATTTTCCTATCGTTGCCTAACATTATACCGGTATTACCGTGAACGGTATAATATGGCCCAGCCCTAGCAGGGAGGTAGGGTAAGGGAGTGTAGCCAGAAAAACACCTTTCTTAGATGATTATATATATTTTAGAGTCCACAAAAGACGGGGATTGTGTGTTGCAAATCAGTTTTCTAAAGCTGAGTTTAGTTGATTTAAGGTTAAATACAATAAAAGGAAAAGGTTTGTTAAATCAGGTAACACAGGCTTTTTGCCTTAACTACATGCGCCCTGATCAATATCAAAAGTCACTGCCAAAAGCTCATTTTGAGCAAAAGGAACCCTGATTTATGTCTATTATTAACATCATGGCAGTATTTGTTTTAAATATCATGGCACCCCTGCACAGGACACACTGTAACATTTGAAAAGGGAAAAAGAAACAATCAAATCCCTAAACAAAGAAATGCATTTTTTTGTTTAAAACTACTCTCCATTTTAACACAATATTGTTTCATATCTGTAAAAACCACCCAAAGTAAGAGCTTATCAACTGATGTTTAGGAACAATCACTTTGACTTGTGTGTATTGTGTTGAAGAGATGCCCACTTAATAAGAACTAGTGCTGTGCTATACTTTTGTGTAATACCATTTTAAACTCGAAGATGGTTTAGTGAGTCAGTGTAACCTTCAATGAGGCTTTTTATAATTGCAGCCTGGCACAAAGGAAACAGCAGTACCTAAAAAGAAATGCCAACAGTTAAACAGCAGCTCTTGTTTGAAAGTACCTGAGCACATCTGGTGACAGTGAATAATTATAAAATACACCTGGAAGGTCATAGAAATCCAAACAGGTAAAAAAAAATTATTATTTGTCTCTGCTGTAAGTGTGTTCTACTTTTGTTTCAAATGCAGAGCTTCTAAGGTGCTGTTTAGATGTCCATTTGAGCAGGGAAAGGCCAAATGCGTCTTGTGGTTTGCTTTAATCCCGGTCTTGTGATCCTGATATTCAGTTCAGACTATCAGTTCAGCCTTATGAATAAACACTTTATTGTCTGCCTCGATCCAAAGGAGAAACCTCCCACCTAGAAAACAATTGGCACACCAAACAGGGCGTGCTTTTTATCGGTCGTGTCGAGGTTTGTTCCCTGGGCAAATGTTTATTTATATTAGGAGTTTCCAAATAGTACAGTCATGATTTTCTTAAATGCTCAGGAGTGAATGCATCATCTTGTGTTTTTATAAGTTGGGCTGGCTTTTTTTTGTCACCATTTCAACCATGACTTGGTCATTTGACTTGAGATCAAGACTGCGGG